TTTCAATGAACACAACCTCGATCTTGACCTTTCAGAAGATGACCATCAGTATATCTCCGATTTATTATCGAGGAAAACTCCTGGTACGGCTACAGGACCAACTACTAGAATTGGTTCAACTGAAGTAAGTTCTTCTGCAGGTATGGACTTTATTCTATAATCTTCATTGTCCCTTTGTCAGTTAACTTTAAATAATTATATAAGAGTTTTAATCATAGGACCAATTACTAAAATCGGTTGAGCTACAATTATCGGAATGTTTGATTAGCCTGAGGGTCTAGGTTTCTTGTTGTTGGTAGGAACCAAGGTCAAGGCTCAATTATCAGTTCCTGGATCTCAACCTCTCACCTCTTTAGACCCGATGATGATAGAAGTTGTTGCCACCATCAAGGTTAGTCCTATCACAACAACCGTGATAAGAACTGGAGAAGTTGATATATCGACAATTGTTGTATCGGGAACGCCTCCGCTCGTTCATGAAGCTGAAAGGGTGGGAGCAGACGTAGGACATCAAACTGATGTAGCCTTGTCTAGAATTGGTGAGTTTTATCAGTTACTTGCTTTAAACTTATAATTAATATTTCAGAATGCTCATTGCGTTTCTCTCTTGCTTGCAGAATCTTCATCCCTTCCACCCAAGAGTCTCATAGATTTAGATCCGAAGCTGACGGAGATCTCAGCTATAAAGTTAACTGACGAAGCTAGTACATCGATGATTGTTATCCCTGAACAAACTTCGGTTGCTGTCAACGTTGAACTAACATCGTCGAGACAAGGAAGCCGAGCTAGAGGATCTTCTGTTAGACTCGATATATTTTCCTTCATTGTTTCTTTTGAATTTCAAGAATCCTAGGTATTGAATCTGGTTCCAACAACCTTCAGATTGCTTATTTGTTGTCTTTTTCTTGCAGAGCTGCCCTCTCTTTATCATTCGATCAAGGCGTTGATGTCGGATAATGATCCAGATAGGGCTTTAATCAGCCTGGAACTTCACAACTTTACTTCCTTTCTGAGTGTGATGATTGATAAAATCCTTCATCATGGGTTATCCTTCGACCAATTTAGACGATCCCTTGATTGTTAGGTGAAAGGAGTTAAGGAAGAAGGACATCCAGACCTATCCGAATCCATTGCTGTAGACTTAGTTTATTTAGAACAGGACCTCGAGTAACCATAAGGCTACTGGTGCTTCCTCATATATAGCTGCTCAACTAGAATCAAGATTGAAGAAATGGCATGATACCAGAGTATCTATCAAGACTGAGCTCCAAAAACAAGAGGGTCGTGTCACACAAATGACGGTAGTTCTCTCAAGGAAGGAAAAGGCCCAGGCTGAATTGCTCAACTCTTTACCTTCGAGTCGCGAGGAAATAGCCAACCTTGAAAAGGCCTTGAAATATGCCAAGGATTCTTATGCCATCCTTGAAAGTGAATTGGCCGGTGTAGAACGCTCTCGAAGGCAAATGCTTGAGAATTTACAGCCTGAAAAAGAAAAGCTAGACAAGTTAAAAGATGAAGCTGCAAGGGCACTGAATGCCACTGAGGATTCAATCAGGGCTGATCTGAAAACCGAGCTTGAGCAAGCCTATGCAGAGGAGCTCTCTAGACTAGAACAGCAGATTTTTAGCCATAAAGAGGAGCTCTCTAGACTAGAACAGCAGATTTTTAGCCGTAAATTGTCTTTAGATTGATAGAATCACTCTTGTATCTCTTTTGACTTTATTAATAAAGTTTTCTTTTTAGTGTACTTCTACTATTATGATTTCTCATTCTATTTGGAATAAATAATCATAATATTCGTAGAATTTTGTTAGCAAACTCTCAACCATTAACGGATTTAATGTGCCTTTACCGATTATCGTTTGAATCGGGTTAGCATATAGATTGTCTAAATCCTTTCTACATGTAATTTTATACTAAAAAAATTAAACTCTCTTAGGCTGTATACTACAACATTGAATATGTAGCCTACATGTATTAGATGTAGGCTTATCTCTAATAAGGGATCGAGATAACATCCCCCATGCATAGAAGGCATGGATTTCGGTGTTGAAAAATTATGTCTTCTCTTGGGGCGAAGACAAACCCGATGCCAGAGAGGACGAATTTTGTATTCTATTTTCTGGTCTCTTTTTTATTGGTAGAGATGAACCCAATGTGAGAAAGGAAGAATTTTATATTCTATCTCTTGGTCTCCTTTTTATTGGTAGAGATGAACCTGATGTATGAGAGGACGAATTTTATATTCTATCTCCTTATCTCTTTTTTATTGGTAGAGATGAACCCGATAAGGGAGAGGGAGAATTTTATATTCTATCTCCTGCTGTAAGAGAAACTCAAAGTGAGATCTCCACCTCGAGAATCTTAAAATATGAAACGAAGAGTGGGATCTCCACTCTGAGAATCAAAAAGATTTGGATACTCTAACTTTTATAGTATTAGTTACCTGGTCTGAAGATGAATTTCTCGTTTATCAAAGTGAAATTCTGACTTCAGCCAAAGCTGTAGACATTTGACTGAAGAGGAATGAATAGATGCCATTTGCTCATCGAAAGGGAATTCCAGTCCTAAAAATGGACCTCTCGTTCATTGAAGGAATCGAGAAGGGATTTTGGCTTTGGTCCTAACTATAGGAAGGTTTGACCAAGTGGGGGTTTGAGACGATTTTAACTATTTAAAGGTTTGATCGCTCGATTTGGGTAGAAATCTTCTGTTTATCGAAAGAGAATTCTAATTTTATAAGTGGACCTCTCGTTCATGGAAAGAATCGAGAGGGGATTTTCGCTTTGGCCCTAACTGTAGATAGGTTTGACTAAGAAACAGTGGGAGTAGGGGAACAAATAACAATGAGAATATCAATTTGTACAAAACACTCACTTTGGGTTTTCGGTATCAAGTGATAAGATCTTGACATGAAAGGGGTTCGCTGATTATCATGGATCAGTAGATTGAAAAGTCGTGTCAGGAGTTCAATAGAGGGAGTGTTAAAGGCTTAGACACAGTGGTAGTTTGAATGGATTTAACTGTGAAGAATTTTGGTGGACCTACCGTTAATTAATTTGATCAGTGAGGGATTTTGTGGTGGAGGACTATGGATCATTAAGCACTCCACAATTACACCCTGGGAGTTTCGTGAGGAAAGATTGACCATATGTAGTCGTTGAATCTTATCTCAACGAAAGAATGCTTAGAAAATCATAGTGGGAGGATTTTAATCATCTTGAAAATAATTAAATAGCCATAGTGGGAGATTCTTAATTATTTTCATAATAATTAATAATGGATTATTCAGATAATTAGTTTCTATCTGGAATAATCGACTGATCTCAGGTTATTCTTAAAAATACTCTGTACGGTATTCTCTAGGAACTTCTCATTTAAATAGGTTATCCCGAACGTACTAGGGATAGTACTTCTTTAAGAACTTCCTATTTATTGGTATCATGAGTTTGTGGCCATCTTGGATAATCAAGCAGTATGCACCGTTTGAATAGGCTGTCTCTATTACAAACGACCATACTCATTTGGGTTGAAATTTACCTTTCTTCTTGGAATTGAGTATCATTGGTCGTCGGACAGCAAGAACCAAGTCTCCTTCCTTGAAGCTTCATTTTTAGACTTTCTTGTTAAAGGCTCTGGAAATTCTAGCTTAGTAGAACTCGATTTGTGGTTGAGCTTCTTTACACCTTTCGTCTAACATCTCGAGTACTTCAAGACGTTTCTGATGTTGTTCTTTCGTCATCACACTCGTTGCGAGGGCGATGCGGAGGGAAGGAATTTGGATTTCTAACGGGAGAATAGCTTCACACCCATATACTAGGGCTTACAGAGTTTCTCCAGTAGGCATGCGGACGATGATGTGATAGGCCCAAAGAGCTTTACCAAGTTTGTCATCCTAGTCTCGCTTATTGATTCTCACAAACTTTGACAAAATTTTTATGATGGTCTTGTTGAAGGCTTCAGCCAATCCATTTATGGTGGGATTATATACGGTCGATAAAACATCTTGAATTTTGAATTTTTCGTAGAATTTGATGAAGATATTACTGACAAACTGAGACCCGTTGTCATGTACAATTCATCTCGGAACACCATTCGAATTGGGTGGTTTGAAGTAGAATTCGTGAATGTTATTTATAGCCAATCCAAATTTGTTTTTTTTTTTTGAATTTGAATTTGTCGGTGGTCAACATTTAAAATTGAATCGTTTTGTACAAACTGATCAGCTTTACACATTGTCCAACGTTGTCGGTGGGAATCAATTTTTGAAATCAGGTCAGCTTTACACATTATCCACTGTATACACAGCTCAGCTTTCCTTGAATTGTGTGAAAGCTTTGTATGAGTGAGAATTATTTTTTGAAATTAGGTTAGCTTTACACATTGTCCAATGTATACACAACTTAGCTTTCCTTGAATTGTGTGAAAGCTTTATACAAGTGGGAATCATTTTTTAAAATCAGGTCAGCTTTACACATTGTCCAACATATACACACTCAGCTTTCCTTGAATTATGTGAAAGTTTTGTACGAGTGGGAATCATTGAAATAATTAGGTCAGCTTGACACATTGTCCAACGTATACAGCTAAGCAAATTTGAATTTTGTGACAAATTGATAACAGCTGGAAAGCATTTCCTGAAATCAGCTCAACTTTACACATTGTTCAATGTATACAGCTAAGCAAAGTTTTATAAATAGCATACTAGATTAGGTCCATCATATTTATCATCATCTTCATCTTCATATGATGATAATTTTTTGTCCAATATCATTGCAGAAATTAATTAAACCAAAGAAGTAATTTGTGAGTACATCAACAACAACATGATCCTCGTTAACAATTTACGTTAACAAAACTACCAACCGATCCATGATGGCTCGATTCCCAATCATGCAATGATCAACCGCGATCGAGAAACCACACATCAGAATTTGGTCATAGATTACTTTGTCGATAATCCACGTTTTGGGGAAGATATGTTTTGTCGTCGATATCGGATGTCAAGAAGTTTGTTCCTTCGTATTGTTGATGCAGTGAATGATCATGACTATTACTTCCAACAACGAAGTGATGGACTTGGTAGAATGGGATTATCACTGTTACAGAAAGTAACAGTTGTTTTTCACATGTTGGCATACGGTCTACCAACTGATGCTACGGACGAATACGTTAAAATAGGTGAGTCAACAGCAATTGAAAGTATGATAAAAAAATTTCGTGCTATGGTGGAAATATTCGCAGAGCGGTATCTAGGAACACCTAACGCTAACGATATTGCTAGGCTACTCTATATTGGTAAAAAAATGTGGTTTTCCAGGAATGTTAGGAAGTCTTGATTGTATGCATTGGAAATGGAAAAATTGTCCAACGGCATGGTCTGGGCAATACGCAGAACGTGGTGGGTCACCAACTATTATCCTTGAAGCTGTGGCAGATTATGATCTTTGGATATGGCACGCATATTTCGGTATGCCAGGCACCAATAATAATATCAATGTGCTGGAGTCATCTAATCTTTTCTCTAATCTAGCTCAAGGTATTGCTCCTCCTGCTCACTATGTTATTCAAGGAAAAGAGTATAATATGGGTTATTATTTAGCTGATGGTATATATCCAAAATGAGCTACTATTGTACAAACAATCCAACAGCCACAAGGTAGGAAGAAAAAATATTTTGCCATGAAACATGAAGCATGTAGAAAAGATGTAGAACGTGCGTTCGGAGTTCTCCAATCACGATTTGCAATTGTGGTAGGATCATCACGTTTTTGGAAAAAAACATGTATTACATGACATAATGACTGCATGCATTATTATGCACAATATGATAATCGAGGATGAACGTGACCTTTATGCACCAATTCAAGAAGTGATGAAGCACCAACACCAGAAGTTAATATTGTAGCAGATAAAACTATAATATTTACTCAATTTATTGCACATTACAGACAATTCAAGGATAAAGATGCACATATTGCGCTTCGTAATGCATTGATAGATCATTTATGGGAGGAATACACTATTTCAGATAGTTAAGTGCATATTAAATTTGTAATTTTTATATTGTTGTTAATGTTTAATTATTTTATTGTATTTTATTTTATGTTGTGTTTTTAAATGTAATAATTTGGCAATATCAATAATAAAAATATAATATTTTAGCAAACAAGTTATTTTAATTAATAAAATAATATTTTATTGTTTTATTAGTTTAATTTTTTAAATAATAAATCATTTTGTTTGAAAAATATGTGGAAAAAATAAAATTTGATATGTGGGGTTAATTGTTGAAATAATTAAAAATATAGGGAATAAAAAATAATAATATAAAAGTAGATAAAAAAGAATATACTGAGAATATTCTTTTTTGATGCAAAAAATGGTGCAATGGGTTGGAGATGAATTACTGTTAGATCAAATAACTCCAGACTTTAAAAAAATAGTTTAAAAAGTTTTAGATCAAATATTAGATCAAATAACTCCAGACTTTAAAAAAATAGTTTAAAAAAGAAAAAAATAAAGGGCAGTGCTAAATGCATAATAGGCATCCTATTAGAACCCTGTATAGTGCGGGGAAATCTAAGCTACGGAAGGAGCAGAAAATGTGGGGTATTCTGATAGGATGCGTACTCTTAAAATGTTTGTGTTACTCCCCTACTAGTATTGCAATAACAAATGGACCCTGTTATAATTTTGGCACAATTTAGCAAATGAGCATAAACGGTGCAAGTAACATTTTTCAAACAGTACGTGCCCAAAAAGCTCCATAAAACAAAAAAGAACACTGACAAGCATTCACATGAACTACAAAAAACATGTCAAACCCCTAATTGGGAGGCAAAACGTGCACAAGGCCCATGCTCTACATTTTTTTTTTTTTTTGAGATGATGGAGTAGGCAACAAAATTATGGAGAACTGAGAGAGAAAGAATGCCACCTTTATTGGCATGAAACATCATTAAATGCAAGCCTTACCTTCCCTCACTTCCTCATTCTTCGCAAACTGTAGGTATGTGAAGCTATTAACTATAAGGTTTGACATACTGAAAGTTGAAAGCGAGCCCTGAAACTTTTGATCTTTAATTTGTAGGACATGAGGATGAATGGTTATGTGAGTTATGGGCACTGGGAATTTTGCGACGGAATTCCAGTTACTCGCTATTTGGAGCCAGTAGTCCATTCGAAACGGGTCCACTTCTTCCATGAAAAAGATGAAGATCTCTTCAAGGTGCATGCAAGCGTGAAGCCTGTTTCTTGCTATCGCTATAATGATCAGGTTAACTACTGTTTGCAATATAGAGCCTCATTTTTATTTTATTTAAATTGATGTACGTACGTAGGAAATTAAGGGTTACTTGTTGTTTTTTCCCCCCAACTGATTTTTCAGAGGAAGAATGGGAGAGATCAGGAGAAACAAATTAAGAGGAGGAAGCAAAATGGAGCGTGTTATGCAGGTATCAGACAACCTAAGGCTGTTGATGAGGACTTGTACAAGATACCACCCGAGCTCCTCTATCAGCTACCCAAGAGGGTAAACTTTCTTCCAACTTGTTCGTTCAGTATTATTTCTCACTTAATTCATACTTGAATTCAAAGTAAACTGAAGAGCCCCCTTTAAGATGCCTAAAAATGTGTATTAATTATGTAGCAATCCTATACTGTTTTTATTTTTTATTTTTTAGAGGGTTTCTTCTAGAATTGAGTCAAGATAATATTTGATACACATGTAGATGTAGTATTTGTGGTGTGTCTGGTTAAATTTGTTGAGATCGTCTAGAACACAAGCGTAACTAGCAACGTAATTTTTCCGAAAGGTTTTCCACAGTAAGTTGTGGTCTAAAAACAATTTTCCTACTTTTAATTAACTTGGTTTTGTGTTATTTTGGTTTGCAGAAGAGAATGCTTGGCAACTTTTTGTCTGGATGTCTACGTCTCGACTGCATTGCTTGAACGAATCATTGCCTTCAGTTTTCTCCCTGGCTTTGTGACTATAAAATCAATGTAATATTCCAAGAGAAAATGTGAGATGAAGTCATCTTGTAAGCTTTGTGTGTTAAGGCCCCTTTTAATTTCTCACATGCTTGTTGTATATACAGTGCCTTTACTCAATGAGCTCTTTGCTTGATGGAATTTCTAATATTTTATGTTGTTAAATAATCAGTTGGGCTCTCACAGTAAAAGTTGAGAAGACATTGGGAGTGATGGTTGCTTAAAAGATACAGAAGCAATTGGCCTTACATCTTTCTCTCTTGTCTACTCAACTTTAAAGAAGAAAAGCCTGCGCAACTTGCTATTTGTTCCATAGTTTTTTTTTTCCTTTTGTCAGTTACCACGTATATTTGCTTTGCTTAGTCTCATTCCTTGCTGTCCTCCATACCTAAAACATATAGTACTGTCAATAAGTTTCTTACAAATAGTTGTCATGCAAATTAGTAAATGGCATCCTACAAACATCATTCTTTGCCTTACAATATTCATACCGGTAACATTCCATTCCATATTTATTGCATTATCTTTTTGAACCGACACGGCCAAAAATCACATGATTGAGCTACATTAAAGATAATCCGCTCCATTGAACTTGATCTACATATTCTAAAACCCTAACACAACAAGTTTGGGGTGAACCCATCGTCGTTTGATCATTCATCCACTCGTATCAATTTTAATGGTTTTGAATAAATAGAACTTTTCACATGGCTCGACGGATGGTCAAACGACGACGAGTTCACCCTAAACTTGGTGTGTTGGGGTTTTAGAATATGTAAATCAAGTTCAACGGATCGGATCATCCATAATGTCGCTTAATCATGTGATTTTAGAGGCGTCAAGGAGAAAATCTCCTCCTATGACAAGGATACCCATTAATCTCTCTCTCTCTCTATATATATATATATATATATATATATATAGAGAGAGAGAGAGAGAGAGCAATTCTNACACTGCTGGATTTTTCACTTTTAGCGACGGACTAATCCGTCGCTATAAGTCGATATTCCGTCGCTAAAACTTTTGGCGACGGAAAAAATAAAATTCCGTCGCTAAAAGTTCGACGCTATTACAAGGGTCCCTAAAAACACTTTTAGCGACGGACATTCCGTCGCTAATTGTTAGCGACGGGAAAATGGTCGCTATTTTAAAAAAATAAAAAATTAAAAAAACATTAGCGACGGATTTTCCGTCACTAATAAAACTTTAGCGACGGTTAATTCGTCGCTAAAACTATATTAGCGACGTAAATTCCGTCGCCAATATATTTTTAAATTAGTCAGATATGATTTCGTGCACGTTTTCTGTCGCTAAATAGTAATTTAGTGACGGAATTTCCGTTGCTAAAATGGTATTTAGCAACGGAATTTCCGTCCCTAAAAATTTTAAAAAAGGAATTTGGAAAATATTTTGAAAATTGAAAAAGCCATGTACAATATCGATAATAATTTTTAAAAACCTGTTCAATCAGCAGTATAATATTCAATCTCACGCAAATACCACATCTTATGCATATATTACACATTTAATTCAATAAAAGCAAGTAAAAGTTTCTCGACGGGTACATAATAAATATTGTTTATACAACACAAGAAATTATTTTCAAAGTTATATTAAGGACAATCAATCCTCCTGATCATCATCATCCTCATCCTCAACACCAGCCGCATTATGATTACCCCCGGCTGCACCTTGTGAAGAAGTTCCGGCCTGTAAATATAAATCAAATGTTAACAAGTGTGTGTAAACGTTAATAAGAGTACAAATATAAATATACTACAACACAACACCACAACATCACAACACCACTCGCCCTACCCCTCCCCCTCAACCACCACCACAACAAAATCCCCACTCCCCATCCTCAACCACGACCAAAGCCCCCACCCACCAACCAATCACACTCTACACACCCCCTCCCCCTCCATCACTACCATCACCACCATCAACACCCAATCCCCATTCCTCCCCCCACCACGACCAAACCCCCCACAAACCAATCACATAACGACCACCACAACCAACCAACCAACCAACCCACCAACCAATACCACCAACACTACGCACGCATACACCGTCAACACCACCATCACATAAAAACATTACAAGTATATATTTTGAGGTTTGTGTTAGGGTTAGAGTTAGGGTTTGTGTGTAACAGTTTGTATCAGTGTGTATCAGTATGTACGATATCATCTAATTAAAAAAAGCAAAGTATATATATTACATGTGACGACAGAAACTGTCTCCTATATGCCTCCTGAGCCTCCTGTGGCAGAGTCGACATGAATTGTGTGAACTCCAATACGGTCTGCTCCCGACGCCTCCGTTCTTCCTCTGCAACCCGCTGATATGTTGTTTACTGCGACTGCCAATCTTCAATCGCTTTTAATCGATGCTCCATCGAGTCTTGATATGAACTGCTTCCTGGTATTCCTTGTGGTGCTGCAGACTCTTAGGTGCTACTAGACTCGTGCGGCCTCTGCTCGGATCCTCTCCACCGGTATCTGTTCTTCCTACTTGGTCCAATAACTGTCTCGATGATGGAGTCCTCCTCCTCTCTACTTAGCCGGCCAGGAGTGTTAGAACAGACTTGAGACTGAGTCATTTGCTCCTGTACCTTGGCATGTAATTTCTCCTGCGATATATCAAAACAACCCGAGCAAGTCGACTTACTAATGGTGCATTGATATGAAATTGAATATATAAATGAACTGCTACTTACACACAGATCCTTATTCTTTGCTTTCTTCTCTTCCTCGGCGTAATTCGGGCTCCAGGAAGTCAGAATACGATCTGAAAAATGTCTGAGATCTCCCCTTCCCTATTTTATTCAAATATATCATTAACCCATAACACATAAATTATACTCAACTTAAAAGCTAATATATTATATATCTCAAGCTCTAATTAATGATAATGATGGCTGAAAGACCTGGAGTCCCCGTGATGCTCGTAACTACGAGGCGCGTTGTGATTCCTCCTTGCTATTTCAGCTTGAGCCTGCAAAACAATGTCAAATCGAAACAATATAGAAATTCAAATAATAAATTAAAAATATATATTTCAATAATACCTGAATTTCAGCCATGTCCCAGTAATCGTAAAGTGCAAAAAAATCTACTCCATCCACACGCTCGTCAAGATGCTAAAATCGCTTCCAATCTTCTGTTATTTGGACAAAATATTTTTTCTTTACCTCAAACCGCCATCTCTTGAACGATAAATTGATTTGTCCGAAGCAGTACGTCCAGGCACAAATATTATCATCAAGAAAGAAAAATCGCTTCAGCATATAAAGAAAAAATAGATACAAATCAGTGTATTAAACATAATAATAAACTAATAACTAATAATGATAAAAATTGAAATAAATGACTCACTCATATATATCTCCAATAAGCCACCAGCGCATCAATCCGCTGCGATTTCCACGTTAAAAAAAATATTGAAGAAATCGTGTCTCCTGGCTAAAGCGGCAAGGAAATTGTTGAAAGCATTAGCAAAGGCCCCGACAGGCACTTCATTTTCCCATCGGATCACAGCCCTCCGATTAATATCAGGGATGAGGTTCGTTTCCATGGTAGCATTGCGATCGCGTCTAGGAGGTCGCCCGGTACCTGTGAAACAAAGAATCGAATGAAATAATGAATCAATCTATATTTGGGGAAAAAATTTAAAATAATAACCGATAAACTATAAAAATTTATTCATACCTTTCAGTTCGAGGCATCTACGCTTTGCTTGTTCGTACCTATGCTGCGCGATAGGGCCCACCGCATGATAAGAATCCTAATCCCCCTTCACCTTGGCCGGACCGTGGACTCGCTGATCCGTAATAGAATCTGGCGGTAGTACCACAGCTTCTAAAGCTACGCTATACGGCTCAAATCTCCTCTCCTCCAATACATCTGCATGTAGTGGTGGTGGTATCTCCGCATACTGTGTAGGATCAGCCTGTGTCTCCACGTCATGTGGAGCATCTCCGCGTGATGTGTCCTGTGGCTGCGAGTCATGTGTAGCATCTCCTCCTCCTGTGTAGTAAATGTTAAAAAAATATTAGGCTCATGTTAATAGTTTATAGAAATGTACAGATATAACAAATAAATAAAAATACCTGACGTAGAGGCATGTGCGTCACCTCCAGAATGTCTACCAAATAGTCTCTCAAGCGCTTTCTTACGTAATCCTTTTGTCATCTATACTTTGAAAACATAATGAATATCCAACAAAAGTATATAATGCAAATAATTAATAAAATAGCACATGGCAACAGAATCGCGTGTACATGATGTCCAGTTAAACAGATAATACAAAGGCAATAATGTAATACATACATGACACACCGTGATACATGATAACCAGTCAAACAGATAATATAAAGGTAATAATATAATACATGACACATCGTGATACATGATAACCAGTCAAACTGATGATGTTGAGGCTCTACTCTGCGATCGTGTGCGGATAGCCTGCGACCGTGTGCGTGCCAACGAAAGGACTGTTCTTATAGTTTTATCGACTCCGCTGCGGACATGTTTTTTACCTTTACGCCTTGGCTCACATATAATTGCAGGTACATCAGGGCGCGCTAGTGCAATTTCATCGTCCAGATTATTATTTTGTGTCAATGAAAACTCATCGGCTATTTCGTCGGCCAAGATATCATCCTCATCGTGATCTTCGTCAGACACGACTTCATGAATGTAGGCTCTAGGCGGATTCTTAAGGATAACTCATTCGTCATTTTTCATTATATATTTGATATAAAAGTACTGTTTGGCGTGAGCAGCTAACATGTATTTTTCAGACTGATATATTTCTTTGTTAAGATTAACGATTGTGTAACCATAGTCATCCTTCGCCTTTTTCTGTTCACACCAACGAACCTTAAACATCACATGACTGACTTCCTTATTAATCCCATAGAAAATCTCCACGATGTCTTCTACCTGACCGTAGCAATAGATTTCCCCTTGTATCGGATTTAGATCTTTTGCACTAGCGTATGACAGTTGCAAGAAGGAGCAGAACACACCGATGTTTTGCGTTTGTCGTCTCTCTTCGAGACCGACAATGTTAAACCTAAAGCCGTTGACACAGTAGCCTCCATAATGCTTAACCACATTAGAAGGACCTCTGGCATA